GAAGCTGCCAATGGCAGCATCTGCTCCGATCTACTTGGGTTCCAATCTACTTATCTACTTAGCTGTTTCTCTCTCCGAGGCTTGCTGAGAGAGGAGAAACGGGAGAGCGGGTCTACCTTCAGTGAAAGGCGGTCCGCGAGTGGAGAAGAGTGAGACTCATGTTCTGAGTGAGCATTCTGCCTTTCTGCGGCAGATCCGAGTGCAACGGGGAGAGAGATCACGCAGGTACAGTGCTGGCATGAGATCGGTCAGACCCGGTTGCTTATTCCCTGACTCCGCTGTTTCCCTCTCCGAGGCTTGCTGAGAGAGGAGAAACGGGAGAGCGGAGCTGCCTTCAGTGAAGGCGGTCCATGAGTGGAGAAGAGCGAGACTTATGCTTTCATCGAGAGCATTCCGTCTCAGTGAGCTAGCAGTCTCTGCGTGGGGGCTGCCCAGACAGGTGGCGCACTCACTGCCCTTCTGCATCGTGCAAGATTCCCTGCACGAGCCACACTCGCAGCGCGACATTTGCAACAACGTCGCTAGAATTTTGGTCTTTTAGGGCTTACCTGCTAGAAACAAGCTCTTTCAGAATCGCCGGATGACGGCAGGGGAACAGGACCAAAACTGCTGTGACGCTGAGGCGCGAAGAAAGCAGGTCAGCCAAACAGGGAGGTCTCAGTCCAGCTGCGAGGCGTGTCAACGGCGAGCAGGCTTTCAGGATCAGCGTTGAGCATAGTCATCGCTGAAGGAGAAGAAATCTGAGAATCCTGTGGCGAACGCCCACTTATATAGCCAGATGCCCCGCACATTCTGGCGGGCTTTGTCGCCATAGACTCGTACAGCTCCGCTGCCGAGCCATTGGTTCGTTTTTTATATACTGCACGAACGAATGGCCATGCAGTTTCACTGCCTGATTGAAAAAAGGCTTCAGTTCAGGAGAAAAAAGGCTTTTTTCCATAGTGTCTTAGCAGACGCAGTACGAGTGTAGTATTGACAGGGAACTGTTGTGCTGCTTAATATTAAAAAAAACTGAAAATTTAGAATTTTTTTTTCAGGATTCTTTGAATCGAAAGTTCAAAAGAATAGCAATTTTGATTAATTTAATGTATCCTTGCTGAATAAAAGTATTCATTTATTTATAATTTATTTAGTATAATTTTCATTAACCAGCATGCAACGGTTTAATATTCAGAATATTTAAATGTAGTGAAGAAATTTTCAGAATTATTTCTTATAGTAATAGCATTTGGAGGTAAAGGTTACTGAGAAGACATGTCTTACCCCAAAAGCATCTGGCACACTTTACCCACAGCTGCTGTTTTGGGGTAAAATGCTTTATTTAATTGGGCAGATTCAGGTAAATTGGGTTACTTTTTGACATTGAGATGACTGTAAATAGGGTCTGGAATACATACTATGTGCACAGGTATGCCACGGTGTAATAGAGATGTTAATTAAGGGAGGCAGGCATGACATGAATACTTGAGACTGTCATTCAGTTACTGCCACTGCCAATGTTATGTACACCAATCTATAGACCATTAAGTGGGTCTTGGTAAAGTGGGCATGTCATTGACAGTCAGTCTCAAATATTAGAAACTCATTCTAAATATATGTTCTGTTCAAAATAATGCACAGTTTGCTAGACAGCTGGCACATTTATTCCTAAATGCTGCAGTGCAGTGAAAATATCTGTTTACTTGTACATTGTGTGCATCCAGAAACGAAACTGCTACATTTGTGCATGTTAACAGTTCCATTTACCATTAGACATTGCCACAACAGTAAGACACTTTATAGTCCCCTCAGTGGTCCTGTCACAGAAAGTGACTAAAGCTGTATGACACCCCAGTGTTTAATCGCCATGTTTGCCTTTTTGACATGTCTTAGCCAAGAAAGCTTTCTTGTCATGTTTCTACTGTAACTTGATTTAACAAAAGACAAAAACAAGAAGAAACATTTTAATTTTCTTTACTTTTTTAAAGGGGTCCTATTATGCTTTTTCAACTTTAGTTAGTCTGTAATGTTGCTGTTTGAGCATAAAAAAGATCTGCAAAGTTACAAAGGTCAAAGTCCACTTCAAAAGGAGATATTTTATTTAACAGAAATCACTTTTCAAAAACTACAACGAACGACTCGTTTGGACTACAACGCATATTTTCCGGGATTTGTGATATCACAAATATCGACGAATGGGACGAGACCTGGTTGAGCTGCACTAGAGAAGGCAACGAGTGTTATCACTATGTCGGAGACACGCTAGCTTTCCCAAGGAAGACGAACTTAGAGTGGTTACAATCATCCGGGTTTAAATCGCGCTCAAATTGATTTGATATTGACACTGTAGCTCGCAGGCGGCTATGGTAAGGCGCATGATATTTCCCGACCAGGCGCTGAGTGCTGCCAATCACAACACACACTGGCCCAGTTAACCAATCACATCACATTTCGTATTTCAGAAGGCGGGCCTTCATTTGATACAGGAACTATTCGAGTCGTTCATGCCAGACTGGGGAGAGAGGTGTTGTAATAATGTAAAATATGTGAAAAATGTGTTTTTCGAACAACCTAGTATGAGAGCCTGTTCTAGTACACCCCCAAGCAAAATCAAGACTTTGTAAAAGAGCATAATAGGACCCCTTTAACAATTAAAGTTCCCAAAAACCATTAATAACGTCACATAGTAGACTAACAAATGATGGAGCATAGACCTCCAGAAAGCGCAGTCAACTCTTGTTCTTCAGTTTCAGGTGTGCTGGAAATGGAGTATGAATCAGAGGAAAAAGCTCTAAGATCATGTAACTTTCAACCGGTTTACTGCAAATCATCATACATAAAACACACTTTTCTCTGTACTACACAAGGTCTTTGTGGTAATGCGTAAAAATGAAAAGAATAGTGGAACATCTCTAAAGCAGTCTATTTAGTCTGTAACAGTTTGATGTAAACCCAAGGGCAACACATGATCATGACATTAGTCTGAACACTTCTGAATTAAAATAAAAGCCTCTGAACTTCACCATGACTAACAGACAACTGCAGGTTAGCAGAGCTACAGAACAGTTTAAGTGTTAAAACATCCTGCTTTAAGCACAAAGCAAGATGTCTAAGACAATGTAAAGTAACCACTTAGTGGACTGTCCTGGGGTGTGACATGCGAATCTCCATAAAACTACGTCAAACAGCATAGTCAAATTGTACAATAATTATTGTGCATGCAGCTTTCATGACTTCATATTAATCTAGAAACTGCATGGAATATTTCTACTTTTAAAAATTAATTTGTCACAGAACATGTTGAAAAAAAAAGTTAATGTTGATGTTCATTTGTCAAGTATCCAAGTATAAAACAAATATGAAATCATAATGAGGCTGATGTGTGTGTCTGTGTTTAAACTACAAAGGCTTAGCTACTACTATTTTCAAGGTCCACACAAGAGAAAAACAAGCCCAAACTGTCTAAAACCCCAAGACTTTGTTTGCATGTCCTACTTTCATGTTTAGGGGTGGCTGCCTTCACTAAACAACAAGCTGACAAAAGAGCTTGTAAATACAGAGCTGAATAATTCAGGGCTGAGTGTAACCGTACCCACATATTGTAGGGATTCAAACCATGGCAGCAAGTGCCCACAGCTTTCATTTTAAGCAGGGTTCGGTAATGAGCGCCCCACACTAAGATCTCTGTCAAATTCCACCAGAAGAAGAAAAGAAGAAAAAAAGAATGACAGTTGTGGGAAAAAGTAGCTTAATAACTTTAAAATTCCTTACAGTTTCATGTACACATTTGGGTTACTGAAAAACACTGCAGTTCAACTGAGATGGGCGCAATCACACAACAAAACATTTTAGCTGTCATTGGCCGGTCGCTGTAATATACGGTTAAAGATGCAATCAGTATGACTTTGTTTGCATTTAACAAACTCTTATTAATTATTTTATTGATTTTGGCAACTGATGTCCCACTGTTTATTCTCAAACAGTGTTAGACTGCTATTTTAGACTGCTAAATCAACATTATATATATTTATATATCTATGACACTAATATTTATTCATAAAAATTACTGAGTGCACCATATATATATATATATATATATATATATATATATATATATATATATCTCTTCTGATTATATATATATATATATATATCTTCTGATTAAATACACTTGTTATTTGCAAGATTATGATCTTTAGCTGAAATTGTCATATGAAGATAACAACAGAGGATGCAGATCAGGTCATCATATAATACATTGAATATAAGATACACTATGGGACACGTATTGTACACAATACAATAAGCTACAGTATATAAAGCAAATGGCAAACAAATATGATGCACAGGTCAGCATATGCAGTATGTAACACACATACTTGACAACCAAATGCCTGTGAAGCACTAAGGGTCAGTGGGCTGAAAGGAGTCGCCACAACTATAGGCTGCCAGATGATCAATAATGGTCAATAATGTTCAATAATCTATAACACATTTTCACCTCTTACGAATCTAAACCTTTTAAACTACACAATTTGTTTTTCCTCCAGACTGTCATTGCTTTACCAGTCAGTTAGCTGCTCGGCTAGCGGACAGTGAGGGTCTCTCAAAGTTGGTGAGCCAAAAATATTGTGTTAGCCCACAAACTGAGTATGTGTTATATACAATTAAGAGCATTTAATAAGACTTGTAATTAACTTTTATAGTTTGTGGCGGTTAGTTAATATAGTTTCAGCAGTTAAAGAAGGGTCAACCATTTGCTCACCGCCCCCTCAGAGTGTGTCTAGCCTAAAACATGACCTAACGGCCAACTTTCCCTTATTAACGCTCTACTTTCACACAGTTTTTCGACAGAAAACATCTAACCTGGTGTCAAACTGTGGATATAGCGGAAATAACGGACACTTTCCTTTTATCACCGACACTCAGAGGCTGTTGAAAATCGACCCGGTTCAGTTACAAAACGCTCGTGAGGGCTTTTCGGGCTCGTGCAGCTAAAGCTAACGCAGTTGCGCGCTTACCTCGAGCGGCCTCGCGGAATTTCTCTCTCATTTCCTCACACTCTGGGCTTTTCTTTCGCAGAAAATCACTTCCTCCTGGGTAATATGGTATTCAGCTTTGTGTAGATGCCAAAAACACGTCTTGCTTCTTGTCCTAAAAAGACTTCATGACTAAGTATATTCGTACTCCCACAACAACAACGTCAACCAAGGCGCTACAAATCCGCCCATCTAAGGAAACTCAACTGGCCGTTTGGGCCAATCAGAGAGAGAGTTAAGTTTGACAGGCACAGACGAGAGCCAATGGCGATAGGAGTTTCCTGTTAAGCTCCGCCTGTGGGCAAAAAAGGGCAAATGTGAAGAGAGAGTGGGAGCTCAGTATTCCACGCTGGTTGGTTAACCACATTGTACATGATGGGCATCGGTTCGAGGAGCCTATGAAAGAAAATGGGACCTGAGTGACAGTGACAAAACAGTAAGCAACTATTTTATTTGAGGGGGACCGGCTTAGTCACGATGTACTTTGCTGATGCTGGAAAACTGTCATAAGCATCTTCTCTGGTCAATTCTACATGTTCTGTCAGCGTGAGTTATTTTTTCCTTTGCTACAGGTTAACACCTATCATTTCAGTGGAAAACTGGTCTAACACATTTCATAATGGAGATATGACATTCCTCTGTGGTGTAAATTCCAGTTCTGATGAAATAAGACAATATTCATTACTAGGTAAAAGTATATCTTTGTAAAATTCCTAAGTCACTAAATATGCAAATATCTAAACATCAAAAAAGTCACAATATTTAATTTAAAATTCTGGTTAAAAAAAAAAAAAGGCAATGCAAATAAATACAAAAACATAACTAATTATGTTGAGTAATTTATCAAATTATATGTGGTCAATATGAGTTAATACATTAAAGTCATTACCAAAATTTGCAGGATAGGAGGGTTAAAAAAAATCTCATTTGAAACTCAAGAGCATTACTTTATACATAACAATTGACATCTGTCTAATAGTGGTTATTTATTTATTTGGTATTTATACTATTTAAGTAGAATGGGCTCAAATGCAAAGCATGAAACCAACAAAGATTTCACTCCAAATTAATTTATTGGAAATATACAGATCACTACTCATAACAGGTTTCAATGAGAGAATTACATGTCTACATACATTTTTAAGTGTACTGCCACTTTGTACAAAAAAGTAAAAAAATCAAACCATGGTGGAAATACCGACAGCTTCAACACATGTATGCTTCTGCAACGTCTGTCATTCTTCAACAAAAGACCTACAGACAATTGCTGAATAGCTAACAATTATGACAATAAAAAAAAAAAAATTCCCCCTTCAAAAACATTAAAATCCTTATGTAATGAGATACACGCACACTCCAATCTGACTCGAAAAACAATGCCACCCTGGCTGGGAAACAGACACTGGAGTCAAAAACGGGGAAAATCAACGTCGCCGTCTGTCTGGGCTCCTGCTGCGTCTTCTTCCACCCCTAGAGGAAAGCACAGCGGTCCATTAGTCATATTGTATCACGGCCTGTATCATTAAATTCAATAGAAGACAAAGATCCACTACAAATGAAGTTTGTGTAAGCAAGTGACATGGTCCAAGTAAATAAATCCAGTTTAACAGAATCAGAAACTGACTCACCTCCTCTTGCTCTTAGGGGGTCCTCTTACAAAGCACCAGTCAACGCTGATTGGTTGCCCCATAAGATCCTGGCCATTCAGCCCTTCCATTGCTGCCTGGGCTTCTTTGTAGGTCTCGTACTCCACATTATATGTGGTCAATATGAGTTAATACATTAAGTCATTACCAAAATTTGCAGGGATAGGAGGGTTAAAAAAATCTCATTTGAAACTCAAGAGCATTACTTTATACATAACAATTGACATCTGTCTAATAGTGGTTATTTATTTATTTGGTATTTATACTATTTAAGTAGAATGGGCTCAAATGCAAAGCATGAAACCAACAAAGATTTCACTCCAAATTAATTTATTGGAAATATACAGATCACTACTCATAACAGGTTTCAATGAGAGAATTACATGTCTACATACATTTTTAAGTGTACTGCCACTTTGTACAAAAAAGTAAAAAAATCAAACCATGGTGGAAATACCGACAGCTTCAACACATGTATGCTTCTGCAACGTCTGTCATTCTTCAACAAAAGACCTACAGACAATTGCTGAATAGCTAACAATTATGACAATAAAAAAAAAAAAATTCCCCCTTCAAAAACATTAAAATCCTTATGTAATGAGATACACGCACACTCCAATCTGACTCGAAAAACAATGCCACCCTGGCTGGGAAACAGACACTGGAGTCAAAAACAGGGAAAATCAACGTCGCCGTCTGTCTGGGCTCCTGCTGCGTCTTCTTCCACCCCTAGAGGAAAGCACAGCGGTCCATTAGTCATATTGTATCACGGCCTGTATCATTAAATTCAATAGAAGACAAAGATCCACTACAAATGAAGTTTGTGTAAGCAAGTGACATGGTCCAAGTAAATAAATCCAGTTTAACAGAATCAGAAACTGACTCACCTCCTCTTGCTCTTAGGGGGTCCTCTTACAAAGCACCAGTCAACGCTGATTGGTTGCCCCATAAGATCCTGGCCATTCAGCCCTTCCATTGCTGCCTGGGCTTCTTTGTAGGTCTCGTACTCCACCAGTGCATAGCCCTATGAAAAACAAGTCTCATTATTTGCCAAGATAATGTTTCAAACAACACATGCACCCTCAAAGGAATGTTTTTCCATTGGGTTGCCTGGTTCCAGAACTGTCTTTTACATTCTTTGTCTTGAAACAGGCCAAAATAAAACATTTTATGCATTAACGTGTGTCAGCTTGACCTGAGAAAGTTTCATGATTGACCAAAATGGGTTTCTCAATGGCAGAATGTGATATACATAAAAAAATTTGATGGCAGAAAATCAGATATGCACAAAACACAAGGTTTGAGTGTTCAAATTCACACTCATGTTCACATAGATCATCTTGTGATCAAAAACAATTAAACGAAGCATGACTGAATGGACAAGGACACAGGGGTTGAGTTTTTCTTAGTTTAATTATTTTTAGTTTAACACGCCATATTAGATACACTGACCAAAGAACTCCATCCGACATGCAAATAGAAAATCAATTAAAATAGCACAAACTAAATTTGATTTCTCTCCCTCCCCACTGCTTGAATAGACGAATTATCAAAGATGTGCAGCCCTAGTCAAATACAAAGCTGCTGCAACCATACATTAAACAAAACGAAATCTCTCATCATGGAAAATAACATTCTAAACATTGCCTAAAACAATTTACAATGCTTAAGCACAAGAAAGCATCAATATCATTATATGAAACCCGGTCCAAACACACGGTCATTTTGAGTCAAAGAGTCAGATTGGGTTCAGTTTAAAACACTGCCATCTGGTGGACAAAATCAAGCACTTTCAGGTGTATCCCTGTTGTATCAGTTTCATCAATTACTTTAATTGGGAGAAAGATTAGCAAGTCTGTCAGAGCCAAAAACACACATAGAGAAAAAAACCCTTCCTGAGCCAAATAAACCATGCCAAAACTGAAATGTCAACACAAAACCCTGTTATTTGTAGGATCAGTTATTTCAACACCACAGAAAATAAAAAGCAGCCATTATAATAATATATTCAAAGTGATTATATGAACAGATAAATGTGTGTGTATGTATGAATACATATATAAAAAAAAAATAATTAATTCACTTTAGAGAGGCACTTATATATATATATATA